TGACAGGGTAATCCTGTGCAGAGTTACTCCAGTCTAAGTCCACTGACTTCACTGTGTGTGATGTAAACTGCTCTGCAAGCATTTTTCTGAAATCCACCTGCTTTTTTCCTGGTAGCTGTCATATGAATTATAGAAGTTTAGCATGTGCATGTGTGTGTGTGTAGATTGGTACTATCTTACAGCAGAGGGTTAGACCAGGTGACCTTTTGGTCTCTTCGTTTCACATCATATTATGTAATTCCTATTCTTGTCACCTTCCTTGTCCCCTCCAGTCCTCCCTGCCCATTCTTGTCCCTGCCTTCTCTTTTCTCCTTACTGCTCAGATGCATTACCGCTTCCACCCATCCTCCAAGCCTGTGTTCAGTAGATTTTTTGTTCTTATATTTTGACACCAACCCTATGAGGTAGGTTAGGCTGCAAGACAGTGACTGTCCCAACATCAGTGAATGGCTGATCTGTGAAATTTGTTTCTGGCCTCTCTAGTCCAAATCTGTCCATTATATTACACTGACATTACCTTGCCTCTTTGATATCTCAGTATCTGTGGCAAACGCAACAACATTCCCCTATAACAACCCTTCCCACCCCCCTTTCCAGCAATCACTGCCATGTCTGGACAATCTGTGCTATTCCCTTTAGCAACATCAGCACCATGGCACTATTATTAAATCTGTGAGTAGCACTCTAGGGTGGGAGATAAGAAATCATGCTACCCTTGTGCACTTGGGGCAAAGAGCTGTACTGTTTCCCAAGTGATACAGCCATAAGCGGCAGTCCCACTTCTTGATGAATCCTTCAGTAGAGAGCTGTCCTCAGCTCTCAGAACTACCGTGCCTCTTCTGCCTTAAGAAGCGCTCTGCAAACCTTGCAGAGTCTTACTCAAAAAATATACCTTGCCATCCAAGGTGAGGTTATCAATTTATTATTCAGCACCTGACGATTCATAGGTCAGTATTGCATTTGAGATTACATTTAATTTATTATCAGCATTCTGCAATGCCAGCAAAATGGCCCTTTTGCCATAGGGCGTTTTTCTGATGTGGTGTCATTGATTTGTTAACTGTTTTTAAATGGCCCTTTTGCCATAGGGCGTTTTTCTGATGTGGTGTCATTGATTTGTTAACTGTTTTTATCTGGGATTGTGTATGTGTGTTTTTTTTTTAAAAAAAACACATGATGCTTATTTTTCTGTTTTTCACTGCTTCATTATTGAGCGATGATAAGGTGGGATACAGTTTTCAATAAACAAATATTGGGCGATATAAAAATGTTGTTTGTGGCGTCTGATTTTTGAGTTACTCAAACATAACAGTTACTCCAGTGCAGCAGACACTAAACAATGGATTTCCGTGTTGAGTCGCTCTATGTGCCTTTCTTTCTGTGATGTCAACTCTGTGTTAAACTAAGACAGATGAACAGGCTTAAATATCTACTGTGATATTTACAGGAGGCTCCCCTTATTATTTCTACTGCAAATTTTTGGTCCTCTCCTGTTCTTTCAGGAGATCCTACAAACAGGTTGCTGTGCTGAAGGACGCGTACTGTTGATTGAACAACGAAACAAAGTAAGGGTGTACTGGGAAGCCAAAACAGTCCTGGGGAAAAACCACAGAATGGACCCTTGTGTGCTTCTGATCACAGCAGTGCAACCTAGGGCAGCCACCTGAATAAATAAATCTTAGTTAATTACTTGTGTTTCAACTGATTAATCAACTGAAATGAAATAAATATGAATATGAGTAAGTCTCACTGAGTTCAGTGCATAGGGTTGCAGCCTTGCTCATTACTATGGCCATGTACTAGATGGCTGCAATACTATGCACATTGTAGTAAGTTGTATTAATCTTTGAACGAGCACAATGGGAAGAGCTTTTGCAGAGCTGGGAGGTTCTACAGCAGTCCTTGTGCTCGACCCCTCCTTTTCAAAGGACTTGGGCAACAGGTACAAAGAACACCACATTTCAATGTATGGAAATTATCAAACCTCTTATACAATCACAAATCTACAGACAGGACTGATTTGATTTCCCCTCCCCCTCGTTCACCTTCACTTCCTGCAAAAATTGCTAAAACTTGCCTGCACACTGAGTAACCCAAAACTACCTAGTTTCCTTGTTTCTTTAGATCTCATCTTCTCCAAACTCTCTTGTTGCTTTAATCACTCCCTACATATACATCAGTCATCATTTACTTATCTAAATGCTTTAAGAAAACAAGGGGAGGATTGCTTCAGGAAAACCTCCAAGTAAAAGATCAGATTAATTTTAAAGGATGTTCATGCAGCCCCGCTACTGAATACAGTGGAGATTATTTTCCAGTAAATGTGCGCACAAAATTATAGGTGGCCAGCCCATTTACTGTGCAGTAAACCATCTTGGCTTGCTCCCAAGTAAAATATGCTCAGGGTGGCCCTCGCAACACCTCTGCCCCAGCTCCTTGCCAGCTGCCCTGACGCCTCCTTCATGATCACCAAAGCAAAAAGTGGAGATTCACAGTATGGAAAAACTAACAAAAGACCAGAAACCCATTAATATAATAATGAAGAATTTATAAAAGTAACTTGTAAAGGATCGCCTTGTCTCCATCAACATCGGGCCTTACTGCTTCACTGAGAAGGACTGACTCAGATAGGAAATTTGTTGGGACTTGGGAGGTGTTTTCAATATTGAACTGACACCAGAGATATTTTGTGTAATATTCTTCATGCACTTGATAAAAATCTACAAGTTATCTTTATATATTCTTATTCTTACATTCACGGGTTTCTGGTCTTTTGTTAGTCCTTCATGATCACCAGCACCCAGCCGAAGGGCAGCAGGGACCATGGCCAATCCCTGCTGAAGGTCCCAGTCAAGAGAAGCATCCCCAACACAGTGAGGGGCCATGGCCAGCAACACCTGCCCTTGATGGGCCCCCCCCCATGATACCACTACCCTTGAGTCCTCGCTAGCCACTCCAACACCTGGCGGGTAGCCTGATGGCAGTGGGGGCTGCTGCCTATCATGGCCAGGTGCCCCAAACAGGGGCAGACTGGGATGGATGAATCTGAGCCCAGTAGCTGCCCAAAGGATGCTCAGACTTGAGCAACAATGACAATGGGCGCCACGGCCCAGGTCCACGTTGAGCAGCTGCTGTGGCACTGCTGGCACCACAGGGGCCAATTGGCTCAGTGTGCTTGCAACCTTCCAGAGCAACAGCACACCAGGAATTTCCCCAGTAAGTTCAGTGGCCTATCTGCTCCTGGTAACAGGGACTCTGTTGCTGTAAAGCACGAGAGAGCCTCAAATAATCCTGAAAATGAGAAAAGAGCTGTTATTGTCACTTAGCAGATACAGTGGAGACAATGGAGAACATCCATATAATTATTGGTCTGTGATTAATAGCATGTTACTTGGGCTTATCTTCACTGATGCAACAGGTAAGATAAAAGAGGAAACACTCTGAACCTTTAGGAGGGAAAATTCATTCATTTTAATGGCATAGTAAATGTCTGTGTGCCACGACCTGAATGGCCCAAGTTAGTCCAATCTCATCAGATCTCCGAAGCTATGCAGCAGTGGCCCTGGTTTGTACTTGGATGGGAGACCACCAAGGAAGTCCAGGGTTGCCACGCAGAGGCAGGCAATGGAAAGTCACCTCTCTTGACTTGAAACCCCTACAGGGTTACCATAAGTTGGCTGCAACTTGATTGCACTTTCCACCCAATTTCTGTACAAGAAAAGGTTTACTGAAATGATGCAGAGAGCATGTGGCACAGCAAACAACTGGATCTCATTCTGAAGCTACAGGCAGTGTCTGTCCACACTATTTAATGGGCTTTGGCTTATCACTGAAGCTGCTCTCCTCCTTGCAGCCCATCATCTGCTGCCTTGGAAACTCCAGCAAGATCACTGCTATTCCTTGGCTTTAGCAGTTTGTTTTCATGGCCATCCTAGGAACACATGGCCACTTTCTGTGTTTTCTTTTTTATGTATTCTTCAATCATTTTTAATTGTATGTGGGCAATTCTAGAGCTCCAGAAAAAAATGCAAAGATGGAGCATTCACAGACTATTCCTCACATATGCATTCTCATACCACCTGCACTTTTAATTGAATGCTGTAGAACTAAACCAATCTCACAGCTAAGGTTTTTCTAAGTAGCTTTTTGCTCTTTTTGACAACAGAAAGATAGTCATGTAGAGGGCATAGTCAGTAGTGATAGGGACAGATCCCCTTCTGTGACAGAAAAGACTACAGGGGCATAAGGTGAATAAGCTACCATGCTTGCATATTGTACCGTGGATTAAAGGCACAAATTTAGACAGGTTCATTGGCATCGCCAGGATCTCTGAAAGCGATATATGATACCTGACAGTATAATTGCTGTTTATTTTGTCTTAACCTCAAAACCCCACATGATCACATGGTAAGGCCAGGAGAAGTTAAAAGGATGGGAAATAGTCCCTGGATAATCAAGGGCTCTTCACCTTGAGATAAACCCAAACGCACTCCTTCTTGTTGGAAAAACTGAGTGGAATTCATAATTCTCATCAAGCACAGGGTGAGGGTGACCTGAGAAGTAAACCCACCTACCTGAGGGCTCCCCTGGTTATACAAACAAGTAATGCAAGTTTCTTCTTAGGCCACAAGCTATTCAAAGCCATCTGGATTTGGGGATAAATAAATCAAAAGAGGCAGCCATGGGATCGGGAATGGGGTTAAAGAGAAAAAATGCCAGAGGAGAAAGAGTTAAATGCCCCCCCTTTTCCTCCCCCCCCCCCCCCCCCAGCTCCCCACCCCGCGCCCTTGGTGGTGGACTGCAGGCCGGCCCTATCTGCCGATCGGTTTGCAGGACAAGAATGCAAAATGCAAAACGGGGAGAGGGATCCGCACTGCAAGGGGGAGGGAGGGTGGGGGATGGAACGTCCCTGTCCTTGGCAGATGGTCTTACCCAGTGTGCATTGTTCCTCTGGTGTCTCCTTTATCCGCTGTAATTGGATCCTGGAGGGAGCCCGCGCGCGGCAAAGGAGGGACCGAGGGAGGCTGGGCGGGCTTGCTGAGGGGGGCAACATAGTCCCGAGGCTTTGGCCTGCGCCTCCCTCGCCTGTCAAGCATTTGATTTCATTGTTCCGGGCTGATGTCACTCCCAGTTGTCACAAACGCCTCTCCGGGTGACAATGTGGGACTAGGAGGCACAAAAGAGCCCGCTGGACGTCGCCCGCAGGTAAGAGCGAAAAGTGCGCGTTGCGCCTGGGGTCCCGTCCCGAACTTTGGCCGGCGCTGAAGGGTCTGAGGAAGGGGGGGGGAGAGGGGGGGGTCGGAAGGCTCCTTCAGGAGCGGCCGGCGAGGCGAGGGATGCTGCGGCTGAGCCTGGACCAGGCGGAGGGAACTTGGAAGAGGCTGGGGATGCTCTCCCCTCCCTCCTCCTCCGTCGCTTCGCCCTTCCACTCGCCAGGCCCGCGTTTCCCAAGCCCCATCCCCCACCCCACTTTCGGGCACTCGGTGTCTCCGGAGGAGCACCGAGATTGCAGGTGCGGCGGCCTGGAGACCCGCGGTCCGATCCCGGCCTCTCAGGACTTCTGGCGTTTCTCGGGAAGAGACTGCGGAGAGACCCGCGCTCAAATCCCCCTCGGCGTGGCACTAGGCGACCGAGGGAATCCCAGGAAGGAAGGCAGGCAGGCAGGCAGGCGCCCAAGTTAAGACTAACACGGTTTCATTGCCACTAATTCTGGCTTCAGAGTTCAGTGTTCTCTCTAAGCTGAGTTAATGTGAGCTAGCTCACAGTTTTTTAGCCTCCGGCTCACACATTTTTGCCTTAGCTCAGGAAGGATGGCTCCAGAGCAAACTAATTTAGGCAGTAGCCAAATTGATCGCTCACAACTTTAATGCCAGGAGCTCACAAAGCAGAATTTTTGCTCACAAGACTCCACAGCTTAGAGGGAGCACTGGTTCAGACCACGAAAGTTTGTGCTGAATTAAAATGTTGTTAGGCTTGAAGGTGCCACAAGAGTCCTGCTTATTCATCCTGCAGTCAGCCACAGTTCAGGCAACCAGTGCCTCCTTTTTAACTGCGGCTCTGCTAAACCTGTCAGCCTTAGCTGGGCAGCCCCAGGCCCTCCTCCCCTTCCATGTCGCTCTATTCCCAGCTCCTTTCTGACGTTCACCACCTGCCCCCTTCCTTTTGTTTCTTCTGGATCCCCTTGTAAACTCAGAGCGGCTTTTCTAAACCTGCAGCACCCTGTGGTCTTCTACACACTCCAAGTTTGGCTTCCTGTATATTTTATGTCATGGCGCCACTAAGATGGCAGTCTTCACTGGATGACCTGCTTTTCCGACTCTTGTTCTCCATAACTCAGTCTGTGCATGCTCCCTATTTCTATTGTGCTCCATTCATCTTCCTAGCCCGACTCCAAACTGGCATGGCCTACTTCTGAGCTCAGACTGCTATTGTGGTAAGGTCCTTGGGGACAGGTTGGGTGATGAATCTGCCCAGTTCATTCCATTTGTGACATAGCCTTGGTTTCCAGCACCTGCTTCTCTTTGGCAGCAGATTGCATTCGTTCTTTTCAACACACATGCATCCTTTTGTTCCCAACCGCTACTGAATGCCATTCCCCCTCCCAGTCGTTTCTGGCCACTTAACTGACAGCGTCCGAGCATCACATACAACATACAAAAATAATGATGTCTATGGCATGGGGTGGTCAAGGGGGATGAGCATTACCTCAGCCAGCCTTACAATATAGTAGAAATGCCACCATTTAAGAGTCTCGTTATTCCAGAGTCAGTGAGGTGCAATGGACAAAGAGTACTGGGGAGACCAGAGTTCTAACCACCACTGGGCCATGAAGCTTTCTGGATGACCTTGGACTAGTCACTAGCCACCTAACTTACCTTACAGGGTTGTTGTGATGGTAAAGTGGAAGAGGTGAAAACTATGGATGCCACCCTGAGCTTCTTGGAACATTTTCCAAGACTGAATACAAAATCTTCATTCTCTAGATACACAGAACTCTTCCTTTTATCTTGTGGAAGGTTCATAGTGTCATGTGACTAAAATGGTAACTTCATAATATTCTGTGGGGTGTAAGTTTTAATGTCTGTACGGCTGCCCATAGATGATGTACGTGTGTGTGGGGGGGATGTGTGTGGGTATTATAGAAGGTCTCAGAGACCCCCATTATCTTAGGCTATAATTCTAGGCATTTTATTTGCAGATAAGTAAAGTGAACATGTTTAAGATACAGGTATGATCCTCCCGTCTCTGGCCCCAGCTCCTGCCAACCTAGCAGTTAGAAAGCAAGAAATTGCAAGTAGATAAATAGGAACCGCTTTGGTGGGAAGGTAACAGTGTTCTGTGCACCTCGGCGTTTAGTCATGCTGGCCACATGACCACAGAAACGTCTTCAGACAGCGCTGGCTCTTCGGCTTGGAATCAGAGATGAGCACCGCCCCCTAGAGTCGGATTCGACTAGCTTTCGAGCAAGGGAAACCTTTACCTTTTTATGATCCTTCCAGACAAAAAGCAAGAGAAACCAACATCCTGAATCAGAGTTTTGGTTAGATGGGCTTTTGTTACTGTCCTCATTCAGCTAAAGGTTCCTAAAGAGTGGTGGAGATCAAATATTATTCTCAGGCCTTCAAGAAGTACAGATTCATTACAGTCTTATCAGTTTTCCTTCAGGTTGAAGTAGATACTTCTGAGGCAACAGTGAAAGCACACAACAGTGCTTCCAACTCCACTGCTATGCTGAGAGGTTCCAAAGGGAGACCTTATTTTCAGCCAAAATAATCTTCCTAAAAGACGCATGCTTAGCTTAAAAGTAGAATTTTCCAGCAGATGCGTGCAAATGCAGACTATTTTGAAGGGAAATGATGAACAACTCAAAGAAGAAGTTCAATGAGTATTCCTTTCTCTTAGGAACAGAGTGAGTATCCTTCATCAACCCTCCTAATGAAGGAGAACATTTTAAAGACAGTATCTTCCTTGTGACCAGCAGGCTCTTCCATAATGGCGTCTCTGGGGGAAGTCTGCAGGGCATTCTGTACAGTAACAGCACTGTTCCAACAGATTCATCATCCTCTGCTATGGTGCTTTTTCAGCCTAGGCTGAATTGTCCAAATTCCTTTTTGTTCTTTGTCCTTTTAAAGCCACACACCCTTTACCCTGTCCTGTCCAAGCATTTTGGGAACTAAATATCAATATTCAGAGCAGCTATGAGGTCAGCTTTCTAAGGGCTTCTACTCCTCCTTAGCATTCAGGGAACACACCAGGAATTGTTCTTGTTCCCCAGTAAGAGAGCCTTCTCATGCGAAAGCTGGGGGTGAGTTGGGGTGGATTAATAAGTATACTACCCACACAAGCTTCTTCCACTGGTAGCTTATTAAAACTATGTTATTCTTTGTACACTCCGGCTTTGTTTGTAAGAAACGAAAGAAGGGGGTCTTAGAATATTTGTACAAAACTATGATGCCAGAAGTGAAATTTACACCTCAACGATAGCATTTGCATTCATGTATTATTTGAAGTCAAGGTAAAGTCACTAAATGCTCCAGAGTTAGCCATGAACAGAGCTTGGATCTTTGAGTGCAGATTTATTCATTTAAAACATTTATATGCCGCCTTCCCACCTAAATAGGGTCCCCAAAGCAATGAACATCAAGGCATTAAAATATTTAAAACATTAAAACAACATTTAAAATGTACATATACATGTTTAACAATACATATACTTACAGACATAAATATACAGATGTACTGGCAAATAAATGCAAACAGCCAGGGAGGAGGGTCAATAAGAGTTTATTGGGGGTACACTTCTAATGGCTATTTCCAGATTTTAAAACTGCCACTTTCCTGTGAAGTCCCATTTACTGGTTTAAAATCAGCCATTGGATTCATATTTGATTGGATTCAGGAGCGCTCTCGTTGGAATGATTATAAACCATCCATTGTTTAGTAGTAGCAAATGAATAGCTGAAGGCTGGAAACTACTCTTGGTCCTGTCAGTGCAATACTAGACTACCAGCAATTCCAACTTTATGCCCCAGTTTCTTCATCTGTTCTGTAGAGGAGAAGATTCTCAGAATCAGTTAAACGTTTGTAAGGCACTTAAGATATAAGGATGTTATTCACAGAGGACTAGCCAAATGCTGGTGACACTGATGTCATGAAACTGGGTGGAGTTTTCTCGGGAATGGAGTGAAATAATAAACTTGCAGAATGCTGAGGTGAAGATGGAGGAATCATCCTGGACCCTCTGTTTAAAAGAAAGTGAAATATTTGCTTCAGGTATCAGATTCGAGGTAACTAATTTCATTTTCCTTCTTCTAACATCCATCTCTGTGTCACTAAAAAGGAGTTGCACATCAGAGACGGACTGGATGTCAGTTTTACTTTTGGCTTTAGGCACAAGAAAGCATTACCTATGCTTATAACATTAGCAAAACTCTTGCCTTGGGGATAGCTTTTGAAGAGAAAGCTATTTTACTGGCTTTTTTTTTTGTCGGAAAGAATCTGGACAGTATTGGATTCATCTATTTCAGGACAGGACTTAATATTGACTCCAGAAGCAGTTACCGTGCTTAGAGGTAACTCTCCAAAGTTGTTTTAAAAGCTTTTTTGCATAGTGCCACTGCTTGAATATGTTTAGATAAAGGTGAATATGTTGACTGATATTTCTAGAGTACATTGCTACTGTTGACAGCTCCAAATAATGTCATTTTCTGACTTTATTGGTATGTTTTATGGAACTTTTTCTATGAGTCTCATGAGTTCTAACCTCTCAAGAAGAACTGAGATTTAAAAAAAATATATAACTGAAGATATTCTTTTTTAAAAACTAATGAACAAAACAAGCTAGGAATACACTAAGGCAAAAATTAAACAGTTTTTCATAAAATGAATCTTTTAAAAATCTATGGGAAAAATGCCTAACAAAAAGCCCTTCATGCTTACACACAGGAAAATACATAATATATCATCCTGTTTTTTCCCTAGCAATAAATTACTTAAATGAAGACCAGATTTTCTTTGCAAATTCCTCATTTCTTCACAAAGTAGATTCTCTTTTGCCCTTAAAAAGACAACCCCAACAAACATTTTAAAGAAACATTCCTATTTTGTTTCCTTAACTCTTGTTCTTTTTTTAAAAATTCAAAATACAGCTGCAAAGACACTTCACAGAGACATAATATAAACTTAACTCTTATCCTTAAGTGTTA